GAGAAGGACATGAAACTGGGACAGCAAAGAAAACAGTGAATATTTACTGGGATAACAAGCAAATAAGTTTAAAGACAAGAGCAACAAAAAGCAGTTTGTGTGAGGAAAGGCTTGTTGGCTCGCTGACAGCGTCCCCTCTCCTTCTCCCTCTTACTCTAGCTGAATAGATGGGTTTGTTTGTTGTCAGTGCTAGAACTAAAGGAAAACAAAGTGACTTGATTCCCCTCTGTGTTTATTGGAAGACAGTTCGTTGTGCATAAGTGTCTATTGAGTTCTCGTCCCCAGACAGCTTTATCCTGAATACCAATTTGGCTCCTCTCTTTTTTTCTCCGTTTGTTCAAATTAGAACCTCTTAGCATTATTACATAACACATACATAATACCAATCGTCTGCTATATACCATGTACTTGCAATGCTAATACATTTTCTGCTATAGTACTAATAACTACTATTACTTTTGCTACCACAACAGTGACAATTTTACACTGTCTGCATGCCTAATTAGAATTAGAAGGCCTTTATTGTCTTTGGGAAAAAAAACTTACAACAAAATTAAGATCAGCATTATCACTGCAAAAGTGAGTATGTGACAAAACACATCACCTAAACACACACACACTCAGTCACACTGGAGAATTAAATATGTGCGTGATACATGATACGTTTCTTTGTCTCTATTTCTGTCACATTTTAATCCAGATTATATATCTGACCCATTAATCTCTTGGCTGTTAGATAGATAGATAGATAGATAGATAGATAGATAGATAGATAGATAGATAGGAAGAAGCAACTATCTATCTATCTATCTATCTATCTTATAGTTATTCTTTCTGATTTTAGACCAAGGATAGTTAGATATTGAAAGCCAAGAGATTTCATTACAGTACATGTATGCAAACATTTACTGATGTCCTCTATTTTTCTAAAAATGAATGTGATCACTGATTTAAGAAAGTGACAAATACAAAACATCATCCAGCAATGTTTTTCCACCGATGTGAAGAAACAGAAATGTATGCATATATACACACTCACCTCCACTTTATTAGGTACACCTGTTATAATACAAATATCTAATTAGCCACTCATTTGGCATCAACTTAGCGCATGGCATAGACATATAGACATAGTCAGGACGACCAGCAAAAGTTCAAACTGTGCATTAGAATTGGGAGGAAGATTGATTCGAGTGACTCTGAATTGTTGCTGGTGTCACATGAGCTGGTTTGAGCATTTCAGAAACTGATGATCTCCTGAGATTTTCAAATGGGGTTTATAGAGAATGGTCTAAAACAGGGGTAGGCAACTCCAGGCCTCGAGTGCCAGTGTCCTGCAGGTTTTGGAGCGCACCCTGGGTTAACACACCTGAATCAAATGATTAGTTCATTACCAGGCCTCTGGAGAACTTCAAGAAATGCTGAGGAGTCATTTAGCCCTTTAAATCGGTCAACCGGTCGCAGCAGATGGCCGCCCCTCCCTGAGCCTGGTTCTGCCAGAGGTTTCTTCCTGTTAAAAGGGAGTTTTTCCTTCCCACTGTCGCCAAAGTGCTTGCTCATAGGGGGTCATATGATTGTTGGGCTTTTCTCTGTATCTATGAAGCGCCTTGAGGCGACATTTGTTGTGATTTGGCGCTATATAAATAAAATTGAATTGAATTGAATTGAAATCAGCTGTGATGGATCATGGACACATCTAAAACCTGGAGTTGCCTACCCCTGATCTAAAAGAAAGAAAATATTCAGTGAGTGGCATTTTCTGAGAGCAGGTTATAGAGAAGGTATAATTTACCAGGATAGATCTAGAAAGGTGTATCTGTACATTCTGATAAACAGTTCCCATTAAATTAGTATTTGTTAAGTAGCGCTGACACGCAGAGTGAATTGAATATATACCTATACTCGTAAAGTGCGAAGTATTACAATACTACTGTAGGATTGAGAAATAATTTGGTTACTAAAGTTTTAGACAAATGAAATTGTGTAAAATTTACAGTAGAGTAGGACTATATCGTTCACGAAGATATAAATGTGTTTGTTTTCCCAATTAAATGTAATAATACAGATGACCTATTTAGATGTATAGTTATCAGACTGTAAGAAAAAACATTTTTATGTGAAGCAGCATATCATCGAATAAAAACAAATAATTTTTAAAGCATCCATAAAAATTACAGCAAAACAGTAACGCCGTTTATTTAAACCTTAAGTTTTTGGATCGTAATTTAGCTCACCAATGACGAATAGCGTCAAAACGACAGGCACAAATTCTGTCCAATGAGAACACGCTATTGGGTGGAGCGACACCCAGTTTAGCCACTTGGATTTTAATTCCTGGTCAGCGTTAGTCAATCAGATATAAGTATATCCTGGAAGGGGCGGGCCTAATTGTTCCTTGGCTTTACCCAGTCCGGATGTTCCCCAGTAGCGAATAACGAGCAGCAGTGTGTGAATGTGGCAACCGAGGTAGACAGGGAGGGGTACATAAGCTGGCCAGACCCAGGCTCTTGTCTTTTTTCCTTTATTTTTCTTTTCTCGCATAGCCAAGTGTTTACAGTTCGTGCACCGCCGCGGTTGTGAAGTAGTTTACGGGGCAGAAAATCCGGCCGCTGCTGCTTTTCTCTGGGACTAACCGCTGTCGTTGTGAAAACAGTCCAGAAGAAAGAAAGAAGGAAAGGGAGAAACAACATGGGGCGATAATTAAAAAAAAAAAAAAGGTGTTGTGTTGTGAGCGGACGATGACTCTCTGGGAGGACCCGTGAAGCTTATTTATTTTTATTTATTCCCCTCCCTTCCTTCTTCCCTCATTCCCTGTGTCCGCTTTTGTTTTATTATTTTGTAACATTTCCCCTACCCCCTGCCAGTTTGGGAGATTTTTTTTAAAGGAAAAGGCAACAAGAAGATTGAAGAAATGGACCAAGCCGGCATCCTGAGAAAGTTTATCCAGGGGGTGAAGGCCATGAGCGAGGGGAACGATGAGAGGGGAGAGGATAACTTCGGCAGCGACTTTATGGTGGGTCAAAATTAACAGGCGCCTCCACCTAGCCTCTTGTATCCTATATCTGTCTCACATGTACACTCTTCCCTTTATAACCTCCACCTTTTCCTCCATACTGACCCTTCATATCATACCCAGCGCCCCCTCCGTCTCCTGGTTCTCTGTGTATCCCCCAGGAGGTGAGGCAGGGGTGGCCACACTGCCCTCTTCCTTTTTCCTCCCATTTCCAGGCTTTACATGGCGGCCTAGCATTGTCTCCCATGCCACAGAAATACAACCGATTCCGGTTTCTTTAAAAAAAAATTTTTTT